GGCCCGCCCCGGCACTGTAGGCTCCGCCCGCCGATTTGCCGCCAATAGCGCGCCTGAGGTACCGCGGGGTCCTAACGTTCTGTTTGTCTCTCTCTTTTCTCTTCTCTACTACCTTTTCTATACGCCCTTGGTAGGAATACTTATCTTCCTTTTCAATAAACTGTTCTCAGATAAAATATTGCTGCGTTTGTGCTTTATCTGTTTGAGAAATCTATAAGAAGGAATCCTCTCCGACTCCCCTTCTACAGTAGACACCCCAGAACTGTCAGGTTCCTGATAATGTTATGTTTTCTTTTTGTAAGTAAGTTAATAGAGACATAGCTGTTATATTGATTAAAACCATTACAATGTAATGATGCCCATCTTGCTTTATTCATAAAAGCTGATCTCTGTGCAGGTGACAATCACAGATTGGGAAAGATTGGAGGGGATCAATGGAAGGCATCTAATTTAACCTTCCTGCTCAAACACATCTGTACACTTGACCCAGGAGGAAGTGGTCCTGAAATACTGACCAGCTCTCTTGGACCCCTCACCCCTAGGGTATGTTCCCATGCTGTCCTCCTGTGTAGGTCCCTGAAGAGGTCACAGTTAGATCTTCTGGAGTCTGAGGCCTCTGACTTCAAATTGTTTTATAGCAAAACTAGCTTCCAGAAAAATCTGAGTTATTATTTTCCCAAACAAATCTGCATTACCCCATGTTCTGGTTTTGACTGGAGTAATTTTCTTCATAGTGACTGGTATGTATTTGTATTTGTTCTGAACATAGGGTTGATAAATATAGTGATAATTCTGTTCTTGCTGAGCAGAGAGCCAAAGCCTTTTTTTGCTGTCCACACTGCTGTCTGCACTTGTGCTGGCAAGGAAGTTGGGTGTGCACAGGAGGTTGGGACAGGTGACCCAAACTGACCCAAGGGATATTCCAGACCATGAGACATCCATCCTCAGTGTATAAAGGGAGAGAAAGAAGGAGAAAGAGGGGGACATTTGGAGTGATGACATTTGGAGTTACACACAAGTAACCATTGTGGTGGTGGGGCCCTGTTTTCCTGGGAGTAGTTGGACATCTGTCTACCCATGGGAAGCTGTGAACAGATGTCCCTACTAAACTGTCTTTCTCTCAATCCACGAGTTCCCTAGCTTTTACCATTCCAGTTTTTTTCCTCAATCTTTTTGGTGGGGAAGCCAGCAAGCAGCTGTGTTGTTCTTGATTACTGGCTCAGAATAAAGCATGAAACCCCCCATAATAATGTCATCAATATATTGCAGGTGTTCAGGACCTTCATCCTGGTCCGGTGTGCTCTGTATCAGTCCATAGCAATTGTTGGGACTCTGTTACCACCCCTAGGGCAATTGATTGCAGATGTACCAGGCACCCCACAAAGGGGTCTGCCGTCTTTGTTATTAACACTCTTCTGGTCTCAAACCCAAAACGTAGCCCCATAAAAACCACGGTGAAGAAATGTACCTCCTTCCTAGCCAAAACCAGAGCAGTAGCTAAACGCTTTTCTTTTAAATGACAAATTTTATCACTTTTTTTTTCTTTTTTCCCTGGATGCTAGTAATTTACCATGTTGTCTTTTTTCCTTATTATCCCAAACTTCTTTCCTCAATAACATACCATTGTTACATACATTTATTGAGAAAATCTCACTCAGTGCCATTGCAGAATATTGATCACAATGCATCACAGATAAGCTGAGAAACAGCATACTTACATTGCTTAAATTAATAAAATATCCAGAACACTTAATCTTTCTACTATAGTACCAGTACTTTATTTCATCAACATCTAGTGAGAAACAGTCAGTATAAGAGATGCTTCTGTAGAAAAGGTTTTACTGAAAAATGCTAAGCATTGATAGTTGAGTATTGCATTGCAGAATTTACAATTAACATACAATGGCTCTTAGTCTTTGACTAGAAAGCATGACAATAGTATAGTAATGGTCTCTGCTGCAGTTTGAGTTCTGTGTTTTTCTTATGCAAAAATACTTTATTTTAGAATTTTTTATGTCATTTCTTCTTTAGCCACAGAGAAGTAGTCTTAAAACAAGGTGGTTAAGAGTGTTTGCTTCGCTGCATTACAACTAGCTTGTTGGCATTAATCAGAAAGTACTATATGATTCATTAGCTGTGAAAGGCTTTAAATAATTGATTTGCAGCATGGGGGATTAACATGGAATCTCATTAACCAAGAAAGTTTGCTATAGTTTTCATTTAAGTAGAACTTACGCTTTGGAGATTGCTTGATAGGGGGAAAAAGCCATAGCTGTCTCACAGAAACTCAGTATTGCCAACATTACAAAACTTCCATCATATTATGCACCTTTTGATTTAATAGTTGAATATATGTCTGATATTATAGCAAGCCTGTGATGCACACTGGACACATTGATTGAAATATCTGGTTGATGGTTTTAATTAGATTTTGTTTGTTTATTTGTTTTGCTAAAGATTATATGGGTTAGATGAAACTTGATGTAGATTGATTACAAACCAAAATCAGAATTTTTTAGTACCAGTGGGGAGTTCAAGTCTCATGGACTAAACTACTCAGAGGTCCTGGATATTTTACTAACAAATGAGAGCAGGAAGTGGGTTACTGAGTGTAGATGTTTTCAAAGGCATGTTCCTCTGTTTTACATCTACATCTTTCTACTTAATAGCTGCTTTTTCAGTGTTGCAGATCAGTTTCCTGAGAAGAAGCCCATTGCTTGTATGCTGTGTCTGCTCTAGGGGTTTTTTCTTCTGTTGAGTTCTGACACCAGTGATCTGGAAAAGAGTTAGTTGAACGTGATTTTCTGTATCTTTACCACCCACATCAGAGATATTCTAGAAAATAATTATTCTGATTCTTGCACAATCTCTTTTTTATCATTAAATAAATGTATTTACCAAAGTTGCTACTACTGTGTTAAAGCATCCCTCTAGGGTGAAATAGAAGAATAAAAAAAAATATATTTTTAATGACTAATATTTTTACATTAATTTATGTATCAAAAAGTGCTTTCAATTTTATCAACATTGTCTATCTAAAGATTAAATAGGGTTCCACAATGTCAGATCAGTTTTGTCCAGCCTTCCTGTTTTTTTTTTTTGATATCTGCCATTTTTCAGTCCTTATAAAAAACCATAAAATAATCTGAAGAAGAACTGTCTTTCTCCAAGTACTTAATGACTGTGCATGCGCTGAAGCATGTGTTTCTATGTCTCCTAGACTTTTCACACATCAAGCGCACGTGAACCATCTCTACCCATCTAACCTTTATTCTACTAGTTATTACTACATTATTAAATCAAATTTCTCCTGCTCTCCATGTCCACAGCAAACTTTGACTTCAATATTCTTTCCCTAATGAAACAACCTGTAATATTGGTGATTGTTTTCTTTTTTTTTGAAATGGTGTGGATCAAACTGTATACACTTCTTTACACAGACATTTTTCAAATTCCATACAAACTCGTATGTGCAGTTCTACTGAGCCACCTTTACACTTTTCTATGCTCTTTACTTATTCTTTAAAGCCTAACTCAGGAATATTTTATTGGGATTCTTAGCTCACCTGAACCCAGTGGTGGTCTACAATGACCTACCTCTTTTATTTATTTTTTCTTCCCTTAAATGATGGATGTTTACTAGAAAGGGGAGAGAGTAGGAGGAAGAGTTTTGTTTGCCCAGGTGTATATTGATTTAATCGTGTGTTTGACCTCTTCATTTAGGTTTCTTTCCTCTGTCTGGTTTCATAACCTAAACCATTCCTGCTCCTTTTCTGGAGCCATCAGAGTAGTAGAACTTTGGTTTGAGGTGCTGACAATCTACTAGCTGTTGGATAAAGCAGAAACTCTTAAGTCTTCAATGCATTGTAAATTTTATAATCTTTTCTTGATACTATTTCTGTATGATTCAATCAAATTCTGGAGTTTTTATGCCTGCCCATATTTGCATAAGAAAAGAGAAACATTTTAGAAAAATACCATGACAATTTCTTCATTTCTAATTCCTATGTTTTCTCTGTGAAGCTCACAGTATATCTTAAATTTTGGCACTAAGGTATATTATGAAATTCTTAGTGTAGTGTAATTCTGTAGTGTCTGTTTTTATAAGCATCATATTAAACAGTTTGGATAGAAGTGTTAGCTATGATTTTTTTCATTATTCACGCTATCAGCTCACATACAATTCCAGCATTGAATTTCATGGTGCTTTTTATCGTTTTATAGGAGGACCACAGGTCCCCAATAGGCAGTTTTGATCCACTGCCCTCCTAATATGTAGCATTACAATTTTCACAGCAGAGATGACTTAGAACAATGATCAGCAGGCTGAAAAAAAATAAAGAACAATATAAAAAGACCCTAAATAGGAATGGTTATGAACATAAAATGATCTCACTTCACTGAGCAATCTCCAGTGGAGGTGAGGTTCCTTAGAACAGAGGAGTCAGGGATTTGACACTTCTGCCACATAATATGTGCTTCTATTGCCATTAGTCTGACAGTTCTTGTAAGCAGAAATTCTATTCCATATCTCAAAAAGGTCACCATTGAAAATTCAGATACAAAAATTAAATAATCCGCAAACATGTAGCAATGTGTTACTCGCTTCTTTCTTTATGAACTTCAGAAAAATAATTATCTTCAACAGCTTGTTCCAAGTAAATGATTGTGATTTTAACATTGTGGTGCTATAGAACAGCTTGTGTTGTAGCTACATTTAACGAGGATAAAATATGAAGAATTAAACATGTGGGTCATACCTGTGTCTGTACTATCTGGTCTTGTAAGACAGAAAAATAGACAAATAAAATTAATAAAATAAATCCAGTTGTTTTCTGAAATGTTCTAAAAGTTTAAGAAATATTTCTCCCTACTAAACTAGATTCAATATAAATAAACCTTTTAAATTTAATTAAAATTTATTTTAATTATATTATATTATATGCTTAATTATATTAAGCATATTTTTTTTCTCTATTCTATTACAGAATGAACCTTATCGAATCTTACTAGAATCAGGTCCAAAAAATCTCCCATTCTGTGAAAGCTGAATAAGGGTAAGAATAGCATTGCATCTTATACCTGTTTTCCAGTTAGGAGCAAAACTATCTGATGTTAGCCTCAGGAACTAGAATATGCATTTACTTCAATAAATAGGTTCAAAACTTGCTTTATTATTTATTCTTTGGGCTTAATTCTTTAACATAGCCTTGAAATTATAATTTTATGTGCAGCGCAATAGTATAATTATGGTGTTATGACATCCCATTGTGACATAGCATGATTTAATTTTTACTTTTTGATTATCTCTTGCATCTCTTTCTTTCTAACACATTGAATATATTTTAAAAAAGGAAAAAAAATAAGGAATTTGGAATGGACATAAAGAGCCCCCTTGCCAGGAAGAAACTAAGACATAGAAATGGAATCTGTGATTTTTTTACCTGTTTTGCTTTTGTGGTAGTCTCTCACTGGAAAAGTTATTGATTGTGCATTTGATGAAGCGGCTTTTAAACTTAATAATTCTTCTGTGCCATTTCTCTTTTCCTAATATGAAAGCTACCTCAGAAACTGAACATTCAGTAAATAAACCAAATATGTTTATTTTGTCTTGGGGTAAGGAAGAAACATTATTAATGTTGATCCTTTGTTAATGTTCTTAAAGCCACCATTACCTAAAACAATGCTGATGTTCTCTTCCCTCATATATTAAATTCTGTAATTTAAATTGTTTAATGAGAACTAACAAAACTGTAGCCCATATAGAAATATATGCTTATGAATTTCCAAAGTGATTGATGTGCAAGGAGAAACACCACACTCATTGGTATTACATGGCATCATAAAAAAATCAGAAACTTAAAGTAGCTATTGACTGGTTTTCAGATGGAAAATTGAATGTCAAAATGCATATAAATTACATTTTGTTCCCAGCACAAATTCACAAATAGTGCTTTTGTCTAAAAAATAACTACAATATTGAAAAGACTTACTTTCATATTACATGCTCTCAGTGTTATGCTTACATGCATTCTCTACAGATATACCTGAATATTTAAGAGAGAGAAAAATGAAACATATATATTGTAAACAACATAAGTGTATTGTATAAGACTTTGGTTTGCATTAATAATAATAGAAAGATGTAAAAGAAATTTATAAAAATAAAAGAGAAATATTAAGGCTTTTGGAAGTATACATAAAGGACAAAACCAAGGATTATAGATAATTCAAAATATGGCAATTCCTGCTTCCTAGAAACAATACAGCATCAATTTGATGCCAAGCCTTAGTCATTCATTTCTTATTTGATTATAGTGTTTGTCTTTAAAAAAATTATAGATCTTTCTTGATAATATTCTTTCATATCTCACTCTCCTTTTTGTGGTTGAAGACTCTCAAGTCCAAATTTAATAAAATATTTTTCTCTGTCTTCACCCAATTTATGCATATAAAAAGTATATTTGTGTAATTTGAAAAACTGTGAATAGCAACGAGAGTAGCATGAAAACTTTTTCCAATTTAATCTCCTGTTCTGGCATCATACAGCATAGGAAATATTACTTTTCTCAGTATTAGGAAAAGGCTGTTGACTTTCTATTGGTCTGACCTGACTTTGATAGCTGTGATAACATTTGTCCAGCAGACAAAGTAACTATTGCCTAAAATTGTTTTAGTTAAACTTTAGTTTATAGTAATGACAAGAAAAATGTATATACTGAACTGTTGATGATTCCTAAATAAAAACTGTTGTAGTAGGGTAGACACAGAATGATACCTGAGGCCCAGGATGAAACCTTGTGAATCAGGCAGAAATGCACTTACATGTATTTGTATTTGTATTTACCATCAAATTTATTTTCACCTAGAAATGCCAACAACAGTGATAATGAGAAAACAGCACAGTGATAAAACTCTTCATTATATGAGCATCACAGACTGCCTCCCTAGATCTCAGCTGGGAAGCAACAGAATCTAGAGAAATTTAGATCTCAAAGTAACACATTTCAGTCAGAATTTTAAGAAATAAAGATCCTGCTTAAAACTGTAATCACACAATAATATAGGGAAGAACAAGACAGTCAAAATAAGAACTGAAAGAAAACTGTGTTAATACAATATTTGATATTATTGAGGGAAAAAAAGAAGCAACAGCAAAAAATACCACAAAAAAGTCCTGTGTCTGAATTTATATTTTACTTCAAAGTACATTACTAAATCTGCTAGAAATAAAATCTTACTCATCAAACTTAAGCTGAGAGGCAGTGAGAGATGGAGTTTAAAAGGAAAAGGATGTAAATACTGAAATGAGCACAAGTTCTCTACTGGAATGAGTTTAAACTCTTTTAACCTTATTTGTACATTTTATTCACAAATACTTTTCAAAATTATTTTCAAAACTTTTTAAATTATCTTGAAATGTATAGATATGCATACTACAGATAGATATAGATCTAAATATAGGTAATACAGATAATAGAGATATAGATATATAGAGATATAGATATATGGATATATAGATATATAGATATAGATTTAGATAGATGCTATAGATTGGATAATAGATATGTAGATTGATATCTGTTGCAAGTACAAATTTATACTTATGTTGACAAATATATTGTCCATTCTTCATAGTAGCTATCTCCTTTTTCTTCATAACAGGAACCTAGCCTATTTACTTTTTTCCAAATTGTTTGCAATTTTTATGTTTGATGGTCATCCAAGTTACTTTGAGTAGGATAAAATCTGGGTAGGATGTATTATGTTATTGTCAGTCATGTTCCCTAAATTTTACTGATGTCATTTTCTCTCGTGGTAATTTTGAACCATTTCTTGTGTTAAGTAACAGACATAGGCATAGTGAAGGAGTTAAAATCATGTTTCTGTTGCCCAGTAATACCAGAATTCACTAGTTTCAGACTTCTGAGTACAGAGAAGTCACGTCTCTCAAATTAAAACTACTTCAGTGAAGCACGCACAGCACACAAGAAGAACAAGTTTTCAGTCTTGGCTTTATGAAGACATTGGGTATATTGCAAAGCTATTATTGCCTTCTTCCCAGTCACTTCATCTAAACAGAACTGATTGTTTCTCAGAGATCTTGTGTTGTAATTGTCTTACCGTTTGTAATCTTGTCTCTGAATGATTTATTTTGCCAGAAGACCAAGTGGCATTTTCTGCAGATTAGGAATATGCTCAAAGTGCTGGCAAAACTGCAAATTTTAATTAGATTACATTATGTACAACTATGCATGACATAGAAACATTTTTGTTAGTACGTGGAATGACAGCTAAATTAAACTGTCCTTTCTGTTTATATAAATACCATATCAGATTCTGATGGGAGTCATTATATTACAGAAACATATTGAGATGATAAATATATTATAATATCTAACACTGCTTGGCACAAAGATGCAAATTGCACTCCTGAAATCTTAGTGTTCCTTACTTCAGAGGTTTGGGATCTTTAGGATCTCTTCTTATTCTTTAGTTATTTGTGCAGTTTTCTCTTTCTAGACAGAAAAAGAATCAGAAGCCAAGAAGAGTCAAACTGCCAAGTCTCTGCAGACACCATATCTGAGCACTGCATTTGCTGATGCATCAGCCATTCCAAAGGCTCCTGCAGAGCAGCCAGTGCAGGGTGCTCAATGCCTGTATTACATCCCAGACTTTCTTGTCCCGTGTTTCCTCATGAGTTTCTGCTTTTGTTGCTGTTGATTGTGCTGTTGAGTGTCTAAAAACCACCATTCTAAAGGAAGCCTAACCAGAGATACAGCAGTGTCAGGGGCAAACAGGAAACATAACATCTAAGGTGTGAATGTTTTGAAGTTTGTGATCACTGATTGGGGTGTTTGGTTGTTCAAGTACTGCAAGGGCTACAGGGATAAGTCAGATCCTCAGCTGGAGTGATTTGAATAACACCATAACAATCACAGCCATTTGACAACTTTCTAATGTTTGACTCCAAGAACCAGACCCATTGTGTCTTTTTTTTTTAATTATTATTTTTTTAATTGCCAGATGGAATTTAGTCATTCAATGCAGAGAAAAGAGAGGAAAACAATAGTTTTAAATTAATCACACATTTTTACTACAGTGTCTGAGACCATTGTAATCTACACAATGGTCTCTCATCTGGGAGACCCCATCTGGGATTTAGCAATCAAATTCTGTCTTCTGTTTTAATACTAACAAAAGAATTAGTAGTTTTTCTGTTTAGTGAAATATTCATTGTTACCCCTTTTCTTTAATGGGTTTAATCTGTTTTTCACCAATTCACTGATATTTTCAAATGCATTATTATGAAACTAAATAAAACAGTTGATTAGTAATGTTTAGATAGATGCATAAATAGATAGATCTACATGCTTTAATGATATTTTTTGCTTACACAAGAAAGAAGTTTCACACAAGGCAGTAAATTATTTAAATATAGACAATTCCCTCAATTACTATTATTATTTTGAAGAAAGGTTGTCTCTTATATTCTGTATCAAATGTATATAACTTTTTATTCAGTCTACATTATTTTGTCCCTAACTTTCTGAATTCTTACAAAATAATAAAAAATATCAGTGACCTAAGGAAGTCCTCATAAAAAAAGATTCTACAAATTTGTATTGTAACATTTTGTTGTATAAACTTAGACAATTGCTGAGGAATATATTCATTTTTTTTTCCCCTCTGGTCTATGTTTTTGTTTTATAATCTTTATTAGAGTATCTATATAATTGCACATTTTGTGCCTAGGCAATACATAGTCCTTATTTTGCTTCTTGTGAAACTCAGTAAACAGTAATTTAATAATTTAGTCTTTGCAATCCATGTTTATGTGGACAATCACATTTGTAAATGTTCTCATGTGAATAAGACCAACATCTGGATTTCCCAGCCCAGCATGAGCTTTGATAACCATGACAGTAAGATTGTATTCTGCCTATTGCAACTATTAATTTGCCGTTGGAGCATCCTAATAGTTTTCACTGTCCTGCTTTAACTAATGATTAATTGAACAATAAATTTAAACTTTATGGTCAAAACCCTCAAAGAATAAATAGAGCTTGAGAAGATAACAACCAGAATTTGTATCAATACAGATTTAATAAATAGATTTATGAAACGATAAACAGGACAATCAAGATCTTATTATCTTCAGTTTAAAATTAAGATAATTGCTGTTGAAACATGAGAGACAATGCATATTGTAAATGCAGATTTAGGAATTTTGTTTTAGGAATACCAGAGGAATGATTTAAAGCATATAGTTACATATAAGCCTGCAGTTTAGATGGTAAATAAACTACTTAGAGAACCTCAGAAAACAAGAAAGTTAGTATTTAGAATAAAACCATTCTAGTTTCAAAACTTACATTGTGTACACTAATAAAAATACCCTGGTTTCAGATGGGACCAAGTTCATTGTCTTCTTAGTAGCTGGTGCAGGGCCATGATTTGGGTTCAGTATGAGGATAATGTAGACAACACAACGATGGTTTAGCTGTTGCTGAGCAGTGCTCAGTGTCTGCCAGTGAGGAGGTGCACAAAACATTATGTCAGTGTGATATAATGTTTAGCTGCTGTTAAATAGTGCTGAGTGCCAGTGAGGAGGTGCACAAAAGGCTGGGAGGAGCAGGGCCAGGGCAGCTGACCTGAACTGACCAAAGGGGAGCTCCACAACACAGAGTGTCATCCCCAGTCCATAAACCGAGGGAGTTCTCTGGAAGGAGGATTGATCCCTATTGGGGATGGGCACTCTGTGGATAGTGAACAATTGCACTCTGCATCACTCATTTCTCTTGGGTCTTGTTAGTAGTAACTTACTTTTTTTTTCCCCAGTTAATAAATTATCTCAATCCATGAGGTTTACCTTTCATTTCTGATTCTCCTCCTCAGTGATAGGGAGGAAGTGAGTGGCTGCATAGTACTTCATTGCTGCCTCAGGTTAAATAATGATTTAAAAAATAAAATAAATTTCTCTTGTTTAATAAAAATAATAGTAAAAATATTAGACTTAGATGTACGAAATCTTTTCAACTTCATTCTTCCTAACTAATGTACCTAATTTCAGAAAAAAGTGCTATCATTGAGCATTAAAAAGTTTATTGTTTCTTTATCTCTCAGCTAATTATATGCATTTCCATTTAAAACAGGTAATCTTTACAGGAAGTAAAAGCATACAATTACCATGTCTCACTTGGGTTTTTTTTTATAAAGTTCTTCTTATGGAAGATGCAAACCTATTCTTTTCTTTCAAAATTTCCAAATCCTAAAATCTGCTCACCTCTCAATTGAAGAAACAATAGAACTTCTTTCCGGGCCTCAAACCTGTAAGAACCTAGGAGAGCAATCCCAGCTATATATGCAGTTTCACATCAAAGAACTTTATCATAGACACCTTCACTTACTTCTTCATGGCTCCACAGGACATTGAAGCCCTTGCTAATGTTGAATTAACTTCCTCAAATTTAAGCTCCAATGTTGAATAGTCTGAGAATCTTTTAATAACTTTCTGCAGAGTTTGAACTTGCATACATAATAAGAGGATGGAGTTTAAAAAAATGAATAAAAATCATTTATATAGATCCATCACTATTCCTGATATTCCATTCTCCTGGCTGCAGCTCTTGTATCTCAGACATTGCTACTCACAAACCTCTGAAAAGTAGGTATAAAAAGGAAATGATCGTCAGTATTTCTCTGCATCATTAAACATAAAGAACATTAACTAAGAAAATCAGTGTAGAACACAATGAATTACAAGAGAAGGAATAGAAGGGAAGTAAAACATTTTTCAAATGTGCTCAATAGCCTCATCTCAAGCATTTGTTTATGCACCTCAAAAAGCAAGCAAAGCTATGTAGTCTGTAATACAAATGTGAATGAAATAGAACTATTAATTAGGTAACATCTGTCTTTGGAAAGTTTTTTTCCTCAGAGTTTAGTTTGATATTAATATCATCCATTCACTGTAAATGATTACATCAGTTAGTGGGGAAAAAATCCATTGAGGAAAAATCCACAAAAAAGCACCATGCAGAAATACATGCCCAGACAGATCCATGGATTTTTTGTGGTTGTGCTCTATAACAATATATTCTAACTTGTTTGCATGTTACATATTGAAGAAAATTTAATGGAATTTTTAATGTATACTTGAAATGTGTGTGAAAATTTTATTTAAAATCAAATCATCTTCACAGATTTTTTTCACATAATCATTGAAGTTTCATTTCATTTGTCTAAAGGAGCAATCTAAGTTCTAGCTCATTAGATTTAAATGTAACCTTTCTGTCCAATCCAGAGAAAATAAATTACTTATCTTTGAGATCTTATCTTTGAGAAATGCCTATTTCTCCTCATGAGTGATGCAGAAAAAAGGATGAAATGAAACCGTTTAAATTTCCTCATCAAAAATTGGATGAGATCAAATGACTTCCAGTAGCTTTATTAACATACACTGAGATGTATTTAAAAGTCATCTTAGTAGACAATTGTTGAGAAAGAAAGAAAGTGCTAAGTGAAAACAGGAAGAAAAATTGTTAACACAAACTATGAAAATGTGACTATCACCATTATTGACAAGCTAAAAGCAATAAAGATATCTTACTAATATAAAATATAGCCCTATCCAAGTTAAAAACACAGTAAAATTGTTGTTAAGTCAGTTGAATAGTTTTATGATTCAGACATGAAGAGCGAGGACAAAATTTTATGCATTTTTGTAGGTTTACAGCAAGATTACAATCACCATGGTAACACTTCTCATATTAAAAATGTAGAATAATAGATTTTGACTAGTTACTCATCTGCATCTTAATTTTCTGAGACAAAAAAGATACTGTTTCAATTTGTTGATGATTACAGGATCACACTTTTGTCTTTATTAATAATTAATCAATTAATATATTTTGCATAAATATATGGGACCTTGAAGATTAAAATTTTACAACTGGTGTGACTGAAGTGCACTATAAAACAACAGAAATAAACAAAGTCCTAACAGCTTTTTCTGTTATCCAAACACTTCTGATCCTTAAACTCCATTAATGAACATGTTGTTTTTGGGTTTTTTTGCCAACAACTAATATTATTTACAAACAAATCATGCCTACTGTTCATCTATTCTATTATGAACAATTTACTTATGTGGAGTACTGTTACATTGACTTCAGAGGAAATCACTTGCTGAGCCTTGTAATCAAGGCCATCAGAATATTCATATTTACCACTTTGTGAATTCATGTTTAATTACCAGTGCATTGCCCATTGTATTCTCATGAACTGAGGCATCGAATGATTCCTGCTAGTCCTACTGGCTCTGTTCCTTTCCTTGCCTTTGTTTTGGTCCTGAAATTTGGTCATTCAAATGACCAAAACATCATCTTTCTTCCAGCTGGTTGCTGCTTATGTGATGACAGTTATCCCCATAATTATCCTAGTTATTTCATACTGTATAACATGCTTTTGTTCCCTGGTATTAGCATTTACATTTCGTTTATTTAAATATTTTTCTATATAATTTGTGCTTTAAAATGAACCTCTGTTGTCATTCAGAAAACAATAACGTTTTTTCGAAAATCCATTTTATAAATTAGCAGCTTTAAGTAAAAAGCTTGAATATGCTTCCAGATTTCATGTGAATTATGGACAATTACTTTTTAGAATTCAAGCCTACACATCATTTTTTTCCTGGCATTAATATGTTTCCCTTTTATGTGAATCAAAACTAAGCAATGGAACTTTGCCAAAGTCCTGTTGAAACCTAGGTATGGTCATGGAACCATAGGACTAGTTTGGATTGGGAAAGACCTTAAAGATCATCTAGTTCCAGCATTCTGCCATGGGCAGGGCAGCTTTCACTAGACCAGATTGCTTAGAGCTCCATTCAATGTGGCCTTGAACTCCTCCAGGGACAGGGCAGCCAGTTTCTCTGGGCCACCTGTTCCAGTGCCTTGCCACCCTCAGGGTAAAGAACTTTTTCCTAATATCTAATCTAAATTCTCTCTTAGTTTGGAACCATTCCCCCTTGTCTTGGTACTACATGCTCTTGTAAAAAGTCTTTCCCCATCTCTCTTGATGAAGTTCCCTTCAGATACTGAAAGGCTACATTTAGGTCACCCTGAAGCTTTTTCTTTTCCACAGTGAGTAATCCAAATTCTTTTAGCTTTTCCTCATAGGAGAAGTGCACCATCTCTCTGATCAACTTGGTGGCTTTCCTCTGGACTTACTCCAACAGGTCCATGTCCTTCCTGTGCTGGATGCAGCGCTTCAGGTGGTTTTTCCTGAAAGCAGAGTAGAGGGTGCTTTGGAATAACTTCTTGTTTCACAGTCTTCCCAATCACAGAGGTAAGGCTGACAGGTCAGTAGTTCTCAGGATCATAATTTCTTCCCTTTTTAAAAATAGGTAATATGTTTCCTCTTTTTTTTTTTTTTTTTTTTTTTTTTTTTTTTTTTTGCATTCACTTGGGACTTCCTCTTACTGCTATGATTTTTCAGATATCTTGGAGAATGGCAAGGTAACTTTTCAATTACATCAGCCAATTCCATCAGGACTCGGATGCCTCTCATGGGGTCTGACAGACCTATATACATTCAGGTCCATCAGGTGGTTGTGAACCTGATTTTACCTGCTTCCCATTTTGCTTCCTCAGGCCCCATCCTGCTGCCCATCCACTCAAGACATGTGGGAAGAGTGGTTGCCATGGAAGAATGAGGCAAAAAAGTCTGTGAGTATACCAGCCTTCTCCTCATCCGTGTCTCATCATTGTTTACTGGGGGGTAACCACACTTTATACACATGCCTTGTAATCTCCCTCTGATTGATGCATAACTTGAGCCATCCTCATGTACCTGTCATTCTTAGAGTGTGTTTCCAGCACTGTGTTCAGTGTTTAACTACGAGACAAGTTACTGGTTGTGTATCAACAAAGGAATGGGTTCAGATAAATGGTGACAATGTGGTGTCCCAGATCATTAACTAATTACAACATTAAGAGCCAAGGGGACTTATGAGATATTAAAATTATTTCTATCGTTAATCCTAACAAATACCAGACACAGGATAAGAGGATTCACCAGAGAATGAATGCATTCATGACTTACTCTGCCTAATGTCAAAATAGTTTTTCTTTTTTTTTTCCTAACTTATGGTAGGGTCAGGTCTGATTGTAGGTGATTGATTGACACATCAATCAGTTCAAGGGACAAATGCATTTGAAAATAGCTTTTTTTAAGTGCAACATCAAATAAATTATTATTTAGAATAGAAATTTTCCACAATGTTTTTTGTGGAAAGATTTTTGCTGTTTTAGAAAGAGTGAAGGGGGACCAGCAGCATACCACTGGATCCACAGTGGTGACTCTCTCAGCTTGATGTCTCCCTTCTCTCTTTCTTTCTGGCTCTCTGCCTCACATTTACCAGTAAATAAATAAAATCTATGTTGTTGACTTCCACATATGGTCTTATTTGCACCTTGATTTGGGCAGAGGCATCTCTTACTAACAGCATCCTAACCATCTGTAACTCAGTTTTGGTTAGACATTTTTTCTGATCTTCTTTGTCTCTGTTCACGTGTGTAGAGTTGAAAAATACCTAAAAAAAATTTCCTATTTAGTTTGCATCACTCCATGAATATCCTATTCTTATTGCAAGAGTGCCAAAGAAAATACAAAACTAAATGTCTGGTTTTGATTCTGAGAAAACAAAGGATGGATGAATAATATTATGAAATTCAATTCATCAAATAAAATTGTTACTAACATTGGAAATTTGGAACATTTTGTAAAAAATAAAATGTTTTTCATGACCTCTTGTAAATCGTGTGAAATAATATCTAGGAAACTGTGGGTAGGAAACAGTTATAGCAGTGATATAGTGACAATGGTTCTTCTTAATGAAGAATAAGAAAAATATTTCTGTCATAACAGAACCAGTTACTTACTGAGGTAAGTGTTGGTAGAAACATTAAAGTAAAAGTAATAAAATCCTAACTAATTAGAACATGCGAAAAAATCCTTTAAAATTGGAAACAGATGGTATGAAGGAGAAGGAAATCAGAAGGAAGAAAAAATTAGGGGTTCAGTAAGGTTGAAAAAATATAAACACATATAGTGGTCCTCATCTTTTTCAATTTTATAAAGGTGACTGCTGTTTTTAAACCATCACAAATTCACAATTAAACAGGGCACAAATGTGTAGGCAATGGGTTGAAAATAACTCACTTCTCTATACGATTCAGCCATACACCTACAGTAGCAAAGTTCTAAGATGGATGTCTGAAAGTAAGAAGGGAAGTGGGTGGTGAGAAAATAGAAAAGGAAGAACTGATGCTGAGCAAGATCAGGATGCATGATTCTTGGTAAAAGTAGTATCAGTGAGAAAAGTGAAGTTTGCTGGAGGGAGATTTTAATAGTTTCTTATGGAGCTAAAGAAAATTGACAGATCGGCACGGCTGAAAACTTACATGGAGCTATGTAGCCTGAGATGCTTTATATGTTCTAATACACACAGAAATATTTGTGTTGTGAAATATATTACTGCCTCAAATAATCTGTGCTGAAATATTTCCAGGTTATTTGTCAGAGCTGTGTAATCATTTTGGCAAATAGCAGAGCTCAGTCTCTAATGATGACAGCAATCTGTCATCATTAGGATTTCACAGTGTGGAAGAACATACTTTACAATCTGTTTTTCTCAATCGCTACATATTCTCTATTTTACTGTACAGAACTTCCCTTGGCACCACCCATTTACAGTTAAGAACCGTGTAAAAAATAAAATAAAACTGTTCCTGTTAAAAAGTTAATTACAGCACTTCAAAAGCGGACATAAAACGAAAAATAGCCAGCAAAAATGAAACCTCTGTCCATTCACATTCCTTCATACTTGGAATTAGCAGTTTTCAAACAAAAGATTTATTGAAAATCTAATAACAATTGTTTATGAAAATTATTGGGATATTCTAATTGCAGCTGAAGCAATCTCATTAACATCACTGTTACTCTGATTTTATCCTGTTTTGACTGTTACTTTTGATCACATATTTACAGATACTTGCAGAATTCCAAAAGCTAGAGGGAAAAATTAATGACGTAAAATCCATTTTAAGAGTATTGTGGTCAAAAATTCTTCTGCAAGTTTTGTAAGAGAATAAATGAAACAAAAAGAAAATTATAATGAAAATTAAAATCTGATTTATTCTCTTCTAAGGTGTGGTAGTTTCTGTGTACAATTCTTTTTACCTTTGTAGTTTTTTTATGTGTAATGATAAATTTGTCAGGGGAGACCTATTTGCAGTCTTCAACATCCACTTGAGGGGCAGGCACTGATCTCTTCCCTCTCATGAGCACCCAGCTGAAGCTGAGTCAGGGGAGGTTTAGGGTGGATATCAGGAAGAGGTTTTTCACTCAAAGAGTGGCTGAGAGCCAGGACAGGTTCCCCAGGGCAGTGGTGACAGCACCAGCCTGAGCACAGGGTTCCAGGAGCATTTGGACAATGCTCTCAGGCACGGGCTGTGATCTTTGGGGGGTCCTGTGCAGGCACAGGAGTCAAACTCGATCCTGATCCTGAGCTGGGTCCCTTCCAAGTCAGCATATTCTCTGATCCTATGGCTGTTCTTATTTATGCTATATTTAAGCAGGTAGGTGTTGAATCTGAAACGTGTAGTGACGCTTATATGGATTGTAGGATTTTTCAGTCTCTGTTCCACTTTATTTTAATTGATTATACAAAAGTATAATCAAATAATTGTCTTCATATCTTCAATGAAACTTCTGGAAATAGTAAGATGAATCCCTGTTTCTTCTAACTCTGTCATAACAAGCAGGGAGAACTACTTTATCACAGTACTTCTTAGTAAGCTTGGTGAGAAACAAACCCAAAATGCAACCTTGTATTGAAATAGATTTTAAGATTTTTAATATTCCCTGTGTAAGCAAGTTGGCAACTGCAGGATTATCTCCTTCCTCACAATTTTCTTTACAAGCTTACAGTGAAAATCTTACACAATGGAATTTTCTCTTCAAAATACTTCCAAACAGCGGGCAAGACTTGAATTGAGCTTGAAAGGCTAAAATGTATATGCAAGCATATCTTTACATTTGCATGCCTTTACAAAAGTTATGGTTTCAGTATTCTCAGAAGGTAAATGCTCTAGGGAGCACCTTTTCCACAGGGAGTATGCGTGTTCTTTGACATGGTTAGAATTTTCCTGTAAAATGAGATATTTTGGGCTAATCAGCTCCTCGTAAACCAAATCCTTAGGAAGAAACAAATTTTAACCCAGGTAAATGTTTTAACCACAGAACAGAATCTGTTTTCTTGTTCCCTTTCTCTAAAGGAATGCCTAAAAATTAGTCCAGTGAATATAGCAATGAATGCAGGCTGCTCATTTCCACTGGTTCTGAGTTAAACAACCAGGAGAATCTTAGCATTTAGCAGTTCTCAAATCTTGTTTCAGAAAACATATCTGTACACTAACTTGTTTATAGTTCATCTAAAATAATCTGCTTTTTGAAGCAAGGTGTTTGTTATATTTTCTTGTAGGAAAAAATAAAGACACTGTTTTTTGTTCAACTCTCTTCTTTATATTCTTACTTGGTAAAGTACTATCAACAATGAATCATTCAGTCTACATTTCAAGAAGCCCTATTTAGTCATCCTGAAAGACCTTCTCCATTAAGGAAGAAAAAAGTGTTTCATGAAAGAAGTGTTTCTTGTCTTATCAGGTTTTCATTAATTAGGAGACTGCCAGGAGATGTAAGTTTATTTTCTCTGTGTCTAAAAATATCCAGCTCATAATTTATCTCCCAAAACACTGGTCTAGCTATCTAGTTAACTAGTTTAAAGACTACTTTCCACAAATTAGTGAACTATTTCACTAGTCATACTGAAAGGGGAAGGTATAAAACAGTTGGTTAGGGTGCTTGTTAAGGGAGAAAAGTCCTGAGATTAGTCACTGTTATTAATTTTATAAACTATGGGAATAGTTCAGGCAACACTTTCAGCATGGAGATAAGAGAAGCTTTAATCCAAAAGACCTCTCCTGTAGTCTGAAAACTTATGTATGGGATGAGATAAATACCTTATGGCAAGAAAAAAGAAGTAATTTTTCATCTCTTAATGTCATGAGAAGGAACCTAAATTGCCTGTAAGTGGGAGATATGATGGCCAGCAATGATTGCAGGCATCTGTCTTCAAGCTATATACTAATGATTCTGTTACTCTGAGAAAAACCATGCAAATTCTTATTTCATGCAACATGTTCTCATCTGCCATATTAACTAGCCATATGCATGTTTTTGGTGTTTGATTCACAGCACCTAGAGACTTAATTCTCTGCTTACAGCTAGTGTTTAATTATGGGTGGGGTTGACCCTGGCTGTATGCCAGGTGCCCACCAAAGCTGCTCTGTCACTTCCCAGATGGACGTGGGAGAGAAGATATAATGAAAGGCTTGTGGGTTGAGGTAAGGATAGGGAGAGATCACCCACTGATTACCATTATGGGCAAAACAAATTCAGCTTGTGGAAATTCGTTCAATTTATTAAGGATAAAATTGAAGTCAGATAACATTAAATTTGTTATACCAGTAGCACTACCTCCATCACTGATGGGCTTTGCCTAGGCCAGCTGTAGGTCTATCCTGGAGTTGTCTGGCATTGGCTCTGCTGTTCATGGTATAAGAGTCTGGCATTTTTGCAGAAAACACACCCTGTAGCCACCCTCTGCACACCACTACCAAAATCTTGCCATGCAAACCCAACACAAACTAACCAATCAGTAAACACAATCTATGCCAATCAGTAAAAACCAAAAACAATCAATCAAAAACCAACACAAAACAAACAAATAAAACTTCAATAAAACCTTTTAAAAATTGGCAAAATTAGATTTCTTAGGGATTGCAAGCTTGTTAGCTTGCAATTCATTCAGTTATCTTATCCTCAAAATCAGGAGTTCTGAGATTAATTGATGGAATACCTTCTTTATCAATTGTTATTGGGCCTAGGAATGAGCAAAATGTCAGACTGGACAACCCCCAGAACCATATGGAACACAGCCACAAGAATCTAAAACCAGGTAGTTGAGTTCTCAAGTTTAAGCATGCCTTAATTCAGAACTTCTCTTTGGACTGCAGTATTATAGTAAGTTGTGGAAGTTCTGATAACAACCTGGTACCAGCAGTACCTGGGAGTTCAGTATTTCCATCAGAGAGAGGAGAGCCAGCAAAATGCTTAGGCTTGTTGACCAGAGGGACTGCATTGAAATAACTATGATCTACTCCTGATGCAAAAGATTACACAAGTACTTGTAGCCTATTTATACTGCATATCAGTCATATGATAGAAACCCAAGCAGCATCATAAGGTGCTCAGAAAATGGGATTCAAACGAGTGACAAATGCTCTCACATGTGTCAGATGGGGCCAGGGAGGACTGAGAGCATGAGTGAATAAGTCAGTAGCTACAGGTGGTTGCCACTGAGAATTAATTTCCCTCTTCATTAAGCTCCTTATACACAGAGAGCCAAGGGAACTAAGATGGCATGATCCTCAATGAAGCAGGAAATTGAGTAATCCTAGTCAGTCTTCTTCTAAATAAACCTTTCTGTTGGGAACTGGCTACATAAGTAAAGTGACTAGTTCACTTTCCTCTTGCCTCAGCCTTTTTCTGCTTAATACCCTTGAGAATAGAGGTTAATGTCTTGAAAACAAAATTTTTAAAAAGAGGATTATGATAATATAACATCAATGAAAGAGATGTCAAAAGCCTCCACAAAATGGCTCAATTAAAAAAATGTTCAGACTAGGGTGATAGATATCTTAGTCTTCAAGGTGATATTTAAAGGTCCTATCAGAAAGACATTCTGGCAATAGTACTCTTACAAGAGGACAGTTCTCTACTGGGGAAAGTAACTCATAGAAAAAAGTTTTCAAGAAGGAGATGGAACTTACACTGGGTACTACTTCAGTCTGTTATTACACTACTTCAGTATTAGCATGTTGCAGTGTTCCTTTATGTCTGGCAAACTTGATATTGCTTAGTTTTTAACTGAAATTTTTCTTGAAATTTATAAATATTTTTAAAAGGACAAGATGTTCAGCTAATAACGGCAATGAAGGCTATCAAAATAAAAGCTGCCCCTTCAAAAAAGAGAATCAAAACCAATGCTTCTGAGTGCTAAGAAAATATTCTAGTCATAGAGTACTTCACACTAAAGGATGTGGAAGTGCACTATTTAAAAAAACCCCGAACCTTTAAGAAATGGCCAGTTTCTGATTGACCTCAGTTCACTCAATTACCCAGAGGGCTAAGAAAATTCCTCAAAGTGTATAAAGAATCTTGAGAATTAGGTACCAAAGATTTGTATTGTCTCTGACAATCTGAACTTTTGCACAGCAAACTTCAGCTGACATTACTATTGATTTCAGTGTCCCGGAGACACGGTGGGGACTTTTGGAGCGCTGGGAATGGGTCAGCATAGATCTGCAGTGAAACATACTTGACCATCTGGTCTACCTTCTGGAAATCTCTTCCCTCAGCCTGGCATGGGCTGAATAAATATCTTCATTTATAATAATTTCTGTAATGACTTAGAATGTTGACAGTGATTACTCATTATATTTCCCTCTATATGACCCAGCTAACACAACCGCCCAAGAGCATATACAGTTCCACTTTTCTTTTTTCATTTTTCTCTTAAATAATGTCACTGTAATTGGCAGCAATCACTTTTGGATTTAATTATTTAATATTTTTAGAGTGCTAACTACCCACTCTGGTCAACATGCTCCAGATTATATATATCTGAGCTTCAATACAAGTTATAAATAAGGTCCAAATATGTGAACCAAAAAAGTTCCCATTTGTCACTCTGTTGATACAACTTCAGCTGCAGACCTAAGTAATTTTTTAAAAAATTCTGTAAAGTGTGCCCCTCCTTAAAAAACACCAAACAGAAGAGTCCTCACTTTTATAATCCCTATTTTAAGGTTGTGAAGCAAAAAAAAAAAAAAAAAAAACACCAAAAACCAAAAAACAAAAAAAAAACCAAAAAAAAAAACTTTTTTTGCTTATTTTTCACAAGGTAAATTAAAAACTCCTCTCAATATACTGAGCTTAGACCCTTAACTGAAGAAAACAGGTGTCTATATTGTGGTTTAGGAATGTTATTTTTCAATTCAGTACTCTCACTGAATCAAGTGCTGCTTTCTCACTCCCTCCTCTCCCTGTCCCTCTCCCTGGAGAGGAGAAATTGGAGACACAAAAAGGAAAGATCACAGGGTGAGACAGAACAATTTACTGGAAAGAGCAATGAGATAAGAAAACAAGCAGTAGCAGCAACAATACTAATGACACAGGCTGTAAGAAAGAGGCAAATGATTCGCACACAAACAACAATACCCAAGGCTTCCCATGCCACCCTCCTAGAAATTGGAAGGGACTCCCTTCCCCTGCTCCAGGAAATGCTGTGAAGTAGTTTGCTAGCAACTGCAAAAATTAACCCTCTTCTGGCCAGAACCAGGACAGTAAAAAAGAATTTCACAGCTGAGTTTTCCTGATGTCAAAAGAGAAAAAAAAATTGCTTAAATCATACGTTTCTGTGCAAGATTTTAAGATATGTTTTGTAACACTTCATATTTAAGAAATTGAAATGACATTATTGATTGAACTCAGTAATACCCTTTATTTATTGTACTTCTACAGCAAAATTAAGCATAAGTATTCTAATAAGAATAACTTCTTACCTCATAGATATTTGAATGTCCGTCACATGTTACCAAAACAGGTAAAATAACACTCCTTAACAGCAGTGTAGATTAAAAAGCAGACATTCTCATTCTGTGCTGGAGGTACAGGGAATATTTTCAAGCCTGTCATGCATACCAAGTACAGAAAAGGTCATGTTTCTGTACTATATTTTATATACATATTCACTGTTTTTTCCTGGAAAACACACACAGATGGTAATCATTTCCCCAAAATCATTAACATGTTTTCCCTCCCACTGATGAATGCAATCCTTCTCCTGGGTGTCCCTTGCGTGGTCCTTGATTGTCTACCCCAAAGTTTTACCTGATAACTTGATGAACTCAGTGTTACTTCCCAAATGTGGAAGTGAGTTGACATCACTGGACTGGTTGATTATTTTGCTTCCTCTTCTTGGTTGATGTTGGATGCAGTTTTGCAGAATGAGCATTGTGCGGTTCCATGGGCATGTGGTTTATCGGAATAAGCATTGTATCTTTCCACCAGCTGCATAAAATAGTTCATCTGGCAACAACAAAAGTTGTTTTCCTCAGCAAAGTGGAGATTCTGAGTACTGTATAGGAATAGCTGTTGTAAATTCCACAAATTCATGATGAAGGTTGCAGTATTATGATTGCCATCAAGCATAGTAGTTACTGTTTCTTGCCTAGACATAAAGCACAGATGAAATATAGAAAAATTAGAAAAACAATATAATCCAATTCAAGTATTTTTAACTATTAACTATTTCTTATTACCCTCAATTTAAAAAAACATCTATTTTTAGTTTTAGGAAATTGTTTTTCTTTGCTACATTATGTAATAATATGATAATATATAATGCAGAAAGCTGACCACAATTTGCAGGAAAATTAAAAATCCTGTAAGAAAACCCCATCAGCAGTAAAAGTTAAATCTAGGTCATATGATTTTGCTTTTTTAATTGCTGCCTACAATTTTAATAACATCAAGATGCACGTCTAGATGCACACAAACATATATGCATACACACAGGCATGCACATGTGTATATATTTTTCAATACTGGAGAGTTTAATTTTTCAGAAAAAATCCTCTTTATTTAGTTGGTTGTTAGTTTCAAAAATATGTAAAACATTTTTCCTTCCTGCTCTCATCCAGAAACTGTAAACTTTTAACAGGACTTTTATTATCTTGTAGGGTAAATTTTGGATTGGATTTCCCGACTCTGAATTCATCAATACAAATCAAACATTGTCATTACTGTCTGTCCAATAAATGTACTCTCTTTATGTGGTAAGTGCAAAATAAACAGTTTATGTTATGTGCATGATTCAAATAAGGTTGACAAATAGAGTTTTATTTTAACTGTACGACCAATTTCCATATTTTTGATCTCTCCTCAATGGAAACCTGCATGTGTGACTACACAAATTGAAGTCAATTTAAAGATTTTCAGCTATTTCAATTTATACTAAAACCAGTATTTTGAATCCACGGTAAATAAAGGCATATAATGTTTATATGCAATGAAAATTGGAAAAAGCTATGTACTTGAGCATATTTAAAACATGTAGAAAAGGTATTTGTGCCTTCAAAAGTGACTAAAATCTCTGTCTCACTGAGCAGTATCCAAAGGGCTTTCTCTTCTGATAGCTGATACTGATGTTCAGTGCGATACATTTGTTAATTAGAATTTCTTTGAAACCAGAATCCTGGATGGCCTGTACACAATACAGACATTTTTAAGCACAGGTTTTACTTAGATCACTCTGAAAGTAGGCTCACAGGACATTATACATCCTCATTGGTTTAGGCAAGTTAAGATTTGGTTTTTATGTAAGCACTTTACTGAGGAATCAAAATATAAAGTTGGCAATCTTTAATTTTTTTTTCTCAGATTTTTAAAATATACTCATTAACAAAAATGATCCTTTGGATGTAAAGAATATATAGGTGATACCAAAAAATCTGTATCTTATTCATTGTGACATCAATTTAGTGCTGACTAACAGAACTAATGTGTTCTTGAATATTGTGATCTCTCATTAGAATGACCAACTTACTCATTTAAACATCACATCCTCCCCAAAAACTGGTTTGCAAAGTAAAAACCAGTTTAGATCTATATATCAAATGACTGCAGATAATTCCAAACGAAGAAGTATGTTTAGACAATAACTACTGGCACAAATGTAGGAGGATAAGTTTCATATGATATCTTTAACTATTCAAAAACTGAAATAAATTCAGTTTTTTGCTGTTAATCTGTATAATAAAATATTCCAGTTTTAGACAGGCACTCTCACATATCTTTCTGCCTTGCAGCAACTAACTTCTCAACTGTCTTACTGCTTACAAAACTAATGCTCTTATTCAAGATCACATTCATGGTTTCATAGTTCTCTTCAAGACACTTCCAGAATAAAAATTAATGTAACCTAGTGTCTCTCATTTTTACTCAAACTCACAGAAACCCTTATGTGTTTTATTAACAGCAGACTTGAGTAGAGAGTTAAAGAAAGAAAGAAGTGATAAAGTATTTTAAATCAAGTGTAAAGTTCTGGTCATACTGACATTCAAAAATGAGAATTTAGTTACATAGCCTGGGTGACACATTCACAGCATTATGGAACAGTTCATAGCAAGCTAATCTTATTTCTGTAGTTTAAAATATGAACAAACTGGCTCTTTCACAACTAAACTGACGTGATTGATTGCTACACAGTTTAGAATTTGGGTACCTCCCAAGCTATGCTTAATCTAATGCCATACCATTTTAGGGGTTTTGAGGAAGATAAACAGGAGTCCTCTTGTTTTTTTTTTCTTTTCCCTTATTTTAGAAAGCAGAAAGACATTCAGCATAACAGAGACATACAAGTAGAACCCAAAATGTTCAAAACAGATGAAGAAATGTTGCAGATCTAGAGAGAAAAGGCCTTGCTGAAATTAACCAGTGATATGAACTAGGGCAAAAACCAGGAGGAAGTTCCTATATATTACAGAACATTTATATGAGATATATGTCAATTTAGCTTAAATAAAGCAAAATGTTGAACCTCATCCTCTGCTAGGTTGTTAACTATATTTTAATTTCTCAATTTAAAAGCAAAAAAAAAAAAATTAACCAAATTAAAAATGAAAGCACTGGAAAAGCTTGTTTGCAGTTTTACTGGGAAGGAACTATTGTTTCTGATCTATCAAGGTTCATATTTCTGGCCAACCATGTAGATTTGAAAGTTCAGTCTCAAATAAAAACACCTCACAATTCCCTACAAAATGTTCATTTAACTGCAATGCAGAAAACATCACAAAATAAATTTGAAACTTTTTTCCTACCTTTCAGAACAAAGTAGTTAGGAAATTTTGTATATTTAGTCTTTTGTTAATTGCTTAAATGCAGAATTTCATCATAATGGTAAGATTTTTGTTTCTGCACATGCTTATAGCCATGCAACATCTGATATTCCACCACAGATATTTTCTTAATCTTTGTAGCTGAACTCTTCAGGGCTGTTCATTCTTTTACAGATCATTCAGATGCTAGAAATAACTTGGCAATCTAGAAGCAGAAGTAATACTTTTATATCCAGACAATATTTGATTAACTGATAGTTCTCTGCTAGTGAAGCAGAAGTCTTTAAACTTTATATGTTATTATACAGATCTCTTAGACATTGTACAAAAAGTCTTGCAAAACAATTTGTGCATACTTCTTGTAGCAATTTTTTCCAAGTTAATTCAGAAAATTCAAGTAAACAACATAAGAAAATATCATCATATTTTTATCACTGGTAAGAATCACAGTTAAAAGTAGCACAATAACAAATAAAGACAATTAACTGTAGGGTATATATTGCTTTAGGTGACAATAGCTTTTCTTATGCATCTATTAAACACTCTTATGGACTCTACACTTTAATTGTTGAGAATTCTGGAATATGTAAGGTTGTGTATCCAAATATCTGTGGATCATTTGAATCTGTTAGTAGTTGGAGTATCATAATTTCCAGTGATAATTCTTTGGCATGTCATTTGAAGGAACAGAAGGGAAACTACCAGCTTATGAGAGAAAATCAGAAATATATAAACTGAAAAATAGACCCCAATATTTTGACAAAAAGAAAGACATTTCAGAGGAATGATCAATGGCCATAATAATGGTTTCTCTTATTGTTTCTTAGATATGGGGGAAAATTAACGTCCTTTTACCCATGCAATTATGCAAATGACATAATTGTATTGTATTTTGAAGTTCAACATCTGAATGTAAAAATATGATAAGACAGATGTGAATAAATGCTGTGTGAAAAGTTCTGATAAGTGGTTTATATGATTTTAGTTGCATGCTGTAAGTGGTATGAAGGAAAAAAAAGAGAATTAAACTGTGAGTAGTAATAAATAAGAGTACTTACATTGGATTATGTTGTGACTAAATATACCATAAATCTGTTGCTTACATTGATTGAGCCATGAATGTCTGGTATCATAAATGAGCCCATAAAAAATAATTCACACATTAAGAGTACATTACTCACTGATTAAACAGTTGCCACACTTTCGGCACCATTTCCTTCACTTAATTCAAATATTTCACAAATACAAATCTGCCATCAGTTTTAGAAGACAAAATTACTTTATCCATTGAGTTAGCTGTGCAAAGAATTTGCTGTGGCATATAATTTAGCTTGGATCCCATTGAAAAATGTGTATAAGTAGGAATGTTGTTCTTTCTGATATCAAACTCCAACTCTTTGTGCTTACAGAAGGCATAGTATTTAATTAAAAATACATGGTAGTCTCTGAAAATGAAACAAATAGTTTAAGAACAATTCTTGTGCCTTAAGTTTTTAATGGCATTCAGCAAAAACTCAGCAGTAATACCTGAACATAGAATCACAGAATGGTTTGGGTTGAAAAGGACTTCTGAAGGCCATTTCGTCCAAGCCCATGCTCAGGGAGAATTAAATAATGAATGGTCAATGGTGGTTAATGCCTTCCCCAGTCAAGGACTGAATACCTCAAGAATGGGGAATTTCATAACTCAGTTATTGAGAAAGAAAGGTTGTTTGTATTTTGTATTTTTAACTACAGTATGTATTTTAACTACAGTATTTGTATTTTTAACAAACAGTATGTTTGTATTTTTAACTAAATGAGCTCAAAATAGTCTCCTACATTTAATTTTCACTGAAATTTAAAATATATCTATTCTGATATACTGTAAAAGCAAACTCCTATGATACAAGACTACATGGTGACTTCTGGGTTCTCAAAGAAGTTTCAGGCAGAAAAAGCTAAATTTCCAAGTCTAGGATGCATGCAGTAGATTATGCTAGATTACTGTCAGTGAAGAACAAAGCTGATGTCAGGTAAATATAGCGCTAAGAAAGAGCCAGATTAAAATTTTCCCCTTAGGTGTCTTGGATCCAGTGCCTTCTCCTGGCTGACAAGATAATGCATTCAAGGAGGGAAATTATTGCATTTTTATGACAAAGTGCAACTAAAACTCATTTCTTTGATAACTGTCCAGTTACATATATTACTGATATGCATATGCATAACTCTCCAAAGTTAGGAGCAGCATATTTAATAGAATCATGGTTTTGGCAAAACACATGAGGCACCATTTATCTTGGGGAGCTCCCCATTAGCAGTCTGACAGCTTTATAGTTCTGTTGGGAAATGAAGTATAACATCAGGTTACTAAGCAACTCCACAGCTTTTTAAAAGTACTTATTGGAACTCACTTGTTTCTCCTAATTGATTCAGTCCACATCATTTTGAACATAAATGGGACATCATGTTTAGAAATATGCTGCATAACTACTTTTAGCTAACATGTCTTGCTACCTCTGCATATCTAAATCAAGCTCTGGCATATAAATGTCATATTGAAAGCAAATTTTATCTTCTTCCTGAGTTTCATTGACATTTAATATATATAAATTATTTTGACAGTTCAAGCTAGTCTCTGAAGTTGTCTGCCGACTGTCAGAAAATAACATAAAAGGCTAAATAGCAATTTCATTGTTCAAGTTTTACATAGAATAAAGTTTTAATTAGTCAATCTGACTTCTTTAGTGAATTTGTGTGCTATAATATATCAGAATTAATAGGAAATATATCTCTGTAATTGTAATCACATTGATATTTTCTTGAGTTGCTAAACTTTGAGCAAGACACCATCCCACATCATCTCTGAATGTTGGTGAAAAATGTACTGTCATATCACAACTGATGAAGAGTAAACTAGGCTTTATAATTC